CACCAACACGAAACCCAAATATAAAATCTGCAACTGAAGACCTACAAATTCCTTGCTTAATACATCCACTATCGTAAACATCTACAACAAAAGAAATATCGATAGGTTGGACATGAATATGACAATGCAAGAGAATTAGTGTAGCACCAAAAGTTAGGACCTAGTCATATCATGGTTACTGCCAAAGTTACCTAACATATATTTCTCGAGAATATTCTCTAAATCTATAAGCCTAGTTAACAAAAATCAGAAAACTTATAAGCACAGTAAAGGCAGTTTACACCAATGAACATTAAAAACACCAACAGAGAGCTCGCTTTGAATGATTTTGATAGAGGAAGACCTTCAAATGAATCGATGATGGAAGGGTTTGGTTGTTGCGGCTGACCAACCTTCAAATCGACGTCATGGACAACGGCTAGTAGGGTAGAGACAACGGTGGAACGGAGAGGAGGAGGAGGTCAACAAACGGCTCCAATCCAATTCCTCTTCATTGCTTGGTATCTCTGTGTTCCCAATCAGCCTTAGGATGCCCCTGGTATTTGAAGGCTACAATTCAAAAACATATCAATTAATCTCAACATAAACCTCGTCATATCATGGCTAATCCCCATTAGGAAACTCAACAGGAAATGGAAGTGCATATGGTGAAGAAACTTACCATGTGTCCCTTGGGAAGCTCCTGCAGCAAAAAGCTCCATTCTTTACACTGCTTCCCATCGATGAAGACATTTATGTTCATCCAATTACTTTGCAAAAACTCTATTCCTTCTATCTTGTTCTACAATTCATTGTCTATGGCTTTCACATAAACTTTCTTCTAGCTCCACTATCTGGATGCCCACATTAACCAAGGAACTAAATAAGTATAATGGTGATCATAAAGACCATAGCTTTTCTCATTAGACTAAGAGACTTCATGTTAAAGGTTTGCTCGAGTAGAATATTTGACTATGAGTGAATGGTGATCATACTAATAATAAAGCCAAATTTATAAAGTTTTGTTGGCAAATCGAATATTAACTAAGCACCAATTTAATAGAAAGGACCGTACAAATTTCCAAGTGTTCTGCACGAAGACTGAATTCAACAATCAACAAAAAGTAAAATTCTGCCAAAGTTTCATATGGGCTTCCTGGTTTGATATTATTCTCTCATATGACTCTTTAGAAGTACGACTCGAAGGCTTGTTTATAAAGATTCAAAGTAGAGAGATTTGAACTCAATGCCTCCTGCTTTTTCAAGGACCACTGTATTTTCATTTGGTATTCCGACCTCCCCTACTGCTATAGTCTGTATGTTCATTTTCAAGCACCACCACAGGTGTCAAATTTTTCATATGGTAGGTTCCAACGCTTCTTCTTTCCAATCAAAACCCCTTATTTTCTTCATAGTTTGCGGATTGTCATCTCCCTATGAAACAATAATCAGAAAACTCTTTCTAAGTGGAATCTTAACATATAACATCATTCCAAATTGACAAACTGAAAGAAATTGAAACTGTGAGGGTAATTGGTATTACTCAGCAGTTGAATTCAACAAATTCGATTCGTTCATACTTTGAGGGTAATTTGAAGACGACGGATCAGGAAAACAAAGCCTGAGTCATACCCGAGGAGGCCCAAAACGAAGGGAATAACGGGGGTATGGAGGTGTGCGCCGAGGCTGAAATCCTGCAACATGACAAGGATGGGTTTGGTCGAACTAGTAGAGGGAATTGTATGAGTAGGCAGAGGGTGATTCCAATCTTCTTCTGTGGAACTGGGATACTTCATGACAATTGCCGGAGGAATATCTGAAGAAACTGATGAAGGGGAAGGCGATGTTGGGGGAAGGACCATTCGGGTTCCAAAAAGGGTAGAGAAGGAAAAAAAAACTCTTGATGCATTTTCTCTCTTCCGTATGGCCTGCATAAAACTAAAACCCGAAGTCGCGTCAATGCGCAGCCACAAAGAGGCATATCACAAACAAAGATGAAAACACGAAAATTGGTGATGATTGGGGGTGGGGGCAAACCGTGATAGATAGATTCAACTCTTCCTCGACTTTGATGGCTGACACGCTAAAACACAACACCAAACTGTGACCAAGTGTAATCGCAGTCCGGGAATGCAGTAAAGTAGCAAGTTCTATTATCAACCCGGGGTCTAGATCTACTGCCTACTCCGTGATTATCTATTATCTAGCAAACTAAGTCGAGTGATTGTTGTTTAAAGTAAAAGCAGGAAAAAGCAGGAAATGGGTTTTCTGAAGTCAAGGAAGAGTCACTCGGGAATGAGTCCCCCTAGCTCCTTAGTTAGGTCTCAATTGTAACTACCCTGGGTTGATTTACTGTTGATTAAACTGCGGAAGATCCGACGGTAGCTTGGAATCTCTTAAGCTGACCAAGCCCTCTCAGTCAAGCTACCCGGCAGACGACTAGTCTTCACCGGGATAGAAAGCTGAGGCTATGAACACAGAACTCCACTACTGGAATTGGATTCCAGTACAAAGCAGTAGATTGACTAACTCTCGTATAGCCAATCCACTACTACCGAATGATGTAGCTCTAACAACCTAATCAGATTCTATCTATCTAAGGTTGCAGCAGAAATCAAGAAAAGCTGGTCAGACTTCAATCAATTCAATGAATCATGCATCATTCGATTCATACCCAAGTGAGAGAAAGTTCTACTCCATAGAGAGAGAGGGGAAAATAGGTTACAAAGCAGTCATACTCATAACAATGGGAAGAATCTGCTCTGGGATGATGATTATCACTCCTATGATGATCTCTAAGCTTGATTTGATGAAACCCAGCTCCAAAACCACTCTTAGGATGAGTTCTTCGCACTTTCTCTCTCTAGGGCTCTGTTTTTGCTCCAAAAGATCGATTCTCTCACTTGTGGCTCGGAATTGGGTAAAAACCAAGATTTCCCGACTCACACGGGCAGGCCGCATGGCTGTGTGGCTTACCCAGTTGCCCGTGTGGCTTCCAAAACGCTGCGTCTCAATTAATCGAACTTCAGGCTTCCCACACGGCCAGGGTCACAGGGCCGTGTGGAAATTCCACCATTCCCGTGTTTGCTCTCGGCACAAACCACACGGCCACATTGGTGGCTTGCACGGCCGTGTGGATTCCAGGAATGCCCGTGTGGCTTCCTCAGCGCCTCGCAACGCGTCCGATCTTCGTCCAATCGCCCCCAAACTCGCTCCCAAGCCTCCATTCACGTACTAGGACCTGAAATATCACAAACAAGCACAACGTGGCGTGAAATCGGCCTAAAACACGATAATCCACATCTCAAACGGTGTAAGAATAGGGGTAAAAACATGTGCAATTAACGGTCTATCAAACCCCCCCACACTTAACCGTTTGCTTGTCCCCAAGCAAACCAAGTCAGACACAAGGTAAGCTCACATTTTCAATCATACCAACATTGGGGACAAGTCATAATGGCATAAAACACGTGAATCGTACTGGTTTTCAACATCAACACATGAGCAACTTCAATAGCAACCTGGACAACCACCACAAAGGACATTCGAGTGCAGCAAAATCGAGTAAAGGAAGAGTCTCCCTTTTGTTCACCAACCAACCTAGACTTGACTCAACCACTTACTCAAGACAGTCACCTCATGCACCAAACTCAAGACATCAGAATAGAGACCGAGCAATCTAGGTCCTCACCGGGGTACAAGAGTATATAGAATATGAAAAATGAATCGCTCACTCTCGACCAGTGGGGTCAGGAAAATTTTGATGCGAAAACTGCGCATGCTTATTCTCTCAATCCCTAACATCTCTTCACCATGATGGCAGCCTCTAAATGCTAGAGTTCACATATGGGGTGTCACCACCAACTAATCCGGATGTCTTAGACACAAGTTCAAATGACTAGCTAGGGTCTTGGACGTGGGGAAAAGGCCTTTTAGGTGGTGGAAGTATTCATAGCACAAGGTTCCACATTTCCAAACCCACACAATCACAGTCAAACAAACCAGTATTTCCTTTCTGCCATTCTGCATTACTCAAATTCTCAAGAGCACAAGAGCGAAGGAGGTTATATAAAGGTCAGCATTTCCAAGCCAAACTGCTAAGAAACGCTACTTAATGGGCACTATTCAGATTTTTGGTAGTGGCTCTCTTTTGCTTTCATTTTTCTTTGTTTTTTTCTTTCATTTTCTTTTCATTACTTAAGAGAACCACCACTTCTGCACATTTATCAAACACATGCCCAAATTTTAAGCACTACCTCCAACCCTCACATTACATTTAGCAGAAACAGCAGAAAACATGTAAAAACCACTCTGTGGAACCTTCTAAAAGATGCAAAAGGGTGATTTTTCATTGTAGACCGAAAGAAAGGATAGCAAATAGCTCAAAGGGGCTGACTAGGGGATATGACATGTAACACCCTACCCTACACGTTTTGCCTAATCATATTGTTCATACAATTGCAGCGGAATTAATCTCGGGTGTTACACTAATTATCAAAATTTACCCAAATAAAATTTCGACATGAATTACTCGCGTAATGGGCTATCAGTTCTTCCATCTGATCCTGCAAAATAATTCATCTAAATCCATGCATTCATAGACAAAATATACACTCACTGCCATATGCATTGGCTTTTCATAGCCATAGTCACAGTTTCATGTTACACCACTGCATCCTATACGGATACATGCCATAATCGTCACAACTTACATAATTACACAAATATACACATCATCATCAACTTTCCACACCTGTGGATATCTCACACTACATCAGAAGCTAGTATGCACATGAAAAACGTTCTCAAAACATTTTACAAAAAGGTGTGGATCACTGGCCAAAATCCCGAGTAGTCGTCCAAGCACAGAATAGTTGAAGACCATACCTCATCTTGCCTTCAACTCTTGCTCAGCTCCCACCTATACACCTATCTACTGCTGCTGCTGATGATGATCTGCTTACACATAGCATAAGCAGAGAAAAAGGATAAAAGAGGGTCAGCTCATAGCTGAGTGAGAAAACAGCTTGGGCAATGGGAACATATTGGTTTGTTCACCCCATCTCTATATCAGACTTTCAGGATTCATTCTCTGCTCACTGTTTTGTGTGGACTGGGTTTTGATTCCTACATTGCTAAATCCAACTTGATGTCAACCTTTCATTATTTTCTAGGTGTGGAAAAGAAAGGCTGAGCGGTATCTTGCTGATTCTGGTCTCCCTTACACAATTATAAGGCGGGTGACTCTAGATTCTGTGATGTAGTACAGCATTTCGTTTTGGTGCAACTTGTCTGACTGTGAAGTGAAGTACAATGTTTCTGAATCATCAAATTGTCTGATATTTGGTGATTCAGGGCTGGAGGCCTGCAAGACAAAGAAGGAGGAATCCGTGAGCTTCTGGTTGGGAAGGATGACGAGCTTCTTCAGACCGAGACAAGGACCATTGCAAGGCCTGATGTTGCTGAAGTCTGCATTCAGGTACTACTAACACAGGAATAGAACAGATCTAGTAGTTTGAGTTGAAGTGTGATGGACCTTGTGGGATTCTTACACGTATCTTGCTTGCTTCCCTGAAACACAGGCAGTCCAGTACGAGGAGTCTAAGTTCAAGGCTTTTGATCTGGCATCAAAGCCAGAGGGAACCGGCACCCCGACCACTGACTTCAAGGCTCTCTTCTCCCAGATCACCACCCGTTTCTGAAGATTCACTTGAGAGCAACACCGACCTATCTCGAATAATCTTGCGTCGTCTTTTGCTTAAATGAACTTGCTTGTGGCGCCCGGGGGATTCATAATGCTTGTTTCCTAGTTGACTTTGCTAAAGAAGTGGGACTCTGAGCCTGTGATAGGAGGTGTAATGTTAGAACGACGTTGTTCGATAACACACACCAGCAACAAAAGAAGCAACTTGCCTCGTTATTCTTGCTAGTCAAAGGCCCGGCCTGGTTCTATCATGTATGTGTCGATGATGTGTTTTGTTTAGTTTTTGGCGATAAATAACATATTGAAAAATGAGAAAGTAAAAATGACTAACAAAGAAATGCAGCTAATAATGACAGAATGTATTGAAAAGTTGAATAAGTAAAAATGATTAAACAAAGAAATGCAGGTAATAATGACATGTTTGCAAACAAAAGTGTACGTCCATAAATGAAAAATATGAGTTGCCTCCTATCAGTATTATTAAAACGATACCTGCTTGCACTGTTCATCTCGATTTTTCCTCCCTTATTTAAGACTGTCCACAGCAAGAAGGGAAAAAGAGGATAAAAGGGGGAAAAATGAGAAGATGGCTCACAATAGGGGTGGGTATTATGGAAAAAAAGGATAAAAGGGAAAGAAGGGGAGGGTTTATCCTGCGCTAGAGGTTAAAAGAAGGAGGAGAAGTGGGTCCAGGTGGGTGGGAGGAGGAAGGGAAGGGGGGACCATGTGGGTGGGTTTTTTTTTTGTTTTTTGTTTTTAAAAATTGTTTTATGGTTTTCTTATTAGATTTTTATGAGTTATTGGATTTTAGTGATAAAATTTTTTATGTCCAAATTAAAAAAAATTATATCGAAATGTTCGTCTTAATTAATTAATACTACCTATAGAAAAATAATGAATAAATTATCAAAATAAAGTTACCATATCAACTCTAGATTGGTTTTGAAAAAAAAAAAACCTCCTCAATACCCTTTTTTCCCTACCACCTATTGTGGCCATTATCCTTCTCTTATCCTTTTTTCCCACTTTTCCCATCCTTTTTTTCCTTTTTTCCCTTCTACCATTGTGGATAGTCTAATATTCATTATAAGAATCTATAGGTATTATTAAAACGCAAGTATATTTGCACTGTTCATTATGACGATTCCATTATTACAATCCCATATAACTATGGACTTTGCTACGGTGACATGCATGTCACGGTGACATGCACTTTTCGGTCGACCTCATATAGGATCAGGTCGACCTAATCAGTTGTTTCAGTGTACAAACAGTTTCATGGTGCCTACTTTGGAGATTCATATCTTACAATTGGCTAGATGGAAATTGGAGATTAAATGCTTGTTTTGAAGCTGAAGTGTCCCTCTACACATTAAAGTACTTGGGAGCTCAATAGAAAGTCCAGAAGACCATTTTTGAACCTGACCAAAAGGCTATGCCAAAACTGGGAAACTGCCTGAAAATGGCTAAGTCTGGCAACGTGTTTGTCAAGCCTACTTTGGAGCTCAATTTGACAAGCATGGATGCGAGTCAAGTCCAGGGGCCTTTACCACGTTAAATTACGTATTTTTTTATACAAAGGCAAGGCATTGAATGAAAGATTGAATATATTTAAGGCTAAAGGCTCGAAGTTGCTACCAAGGCTGTTTTTCTGGCAGCTTACTTGTGCTCGAAGTCTGCCAGAAAACAGCCTTCGTAGCAACTTCGACCCTTTTGTTTGAAGCCTTAAAGATATCCAATCTTTCATCCAATTCATTGAATTTGTATAAAAACATACCTAATTTAACGTGGTAGAGGCTCCTGGACTCGACTCGCATTCATGCTTTTCGAATTGAGCTCAAAAATAGGCTTCACAAACACGTTTCCAGACTTCCATTTCTAGGCAGTTTCCCAGTTTTGGCATAGCCTTTTGATGAGGTTCAAAAATGGTCTTCTGGACTTCCTATCGAGCTCTCAATCACTTCAATATGTAGAGGGACACTCCAGCTTCAAAACAAGTCATTAGTCTTCAATTTCCATCTAGCCAATTGTATGATATGAATATCCAAAGTAGGCACCATGAACTGTTTATACACTGAAACAACATATTAGGTCGACCGGATCCTATATGAGGTCGACCGAATCCTAAATGAGGTTGACCGGATCCTATATGAGGTCGACCGAATTCTATGTGAGGTCGACCTAATCCTAACTGAGGTCGACCGGAAAGTGCAAGTCACCGTGACATGCATGTCACCGTAGGCACACCCTATAACTATTTGCCCACATCCTAGATACCATGTGGAGGCAGGCCATTGGCCAAGCTATAATTGATGGATTTTTCCACTCAGGGGAACTCTTAAATCAATTGATTGTTCTTTTTTATTGATTGATTGTTTCACTCTGGGAACTCCTAAATTATTCTGATTATATTATGTTACAAATGCAGTATTTTATGATCGACTAATGTCATTTTATAATTGCTACAAATACATTATGTGAAAATTATAAAACCACACTCATTTTTTATGTAATAGTTAAATTAAACATTTTTACAATATGAATCCACAATTATTTTTCATGTAATATTTATTAGACATGTTACGTGGAACTTGCGTAATTATTTGACACTTTTACATGATATATATAATTTTATTCACGCAAATTCATTTTGCAATTGCTATATAAGATGAAGAGACAATACATAAAGATACATAAAAAGTAATTCTTACGTAACAATTAAATTAGACATGTTAGGTGATTAATTTACGTCACACAATGTATACTCATTGCATAAAAGGATTGTCCATTACGTGAGGATAAGGTATCATTGTCTCACAACTGTCATATTAAATTACACAAGCTAAAATCACTACTCCTTACAAAAAATAGGATATAATTAAATTTGTTTTTGTACCGGAGTTTTGAAAAGCAATCAAAGGTGGGAAAGATCACCACATATTCGAGTTTTTTTCACGCTCATGAGGTCCAGTCATGAAAGCATTCAGAGATGTTAAGGAATTTTTATCTCCTACACCCAATTTTACCGTAACCTCATGATTAGTTAACTTTGACATAACAGTTTAATCATATGTTACTTTCTAAAATGTTATTATTAGACTACACATTATAAAATATTGGACTTTGCTATGGTGACATGCATGTCACGGTGACATGCACTTTTCGGTCGACCTCATATAGGACCAGATCGACCTAATCTGTTGTTTCAGTGTAAAAACAGTTTCATGGTGCCTAATTTGGAGATTCATATCTTACAATTAGCTAGATGAAAATTGGAGATTAAAAGCTTGTTTTGAAGCTGAAGTGTCCCTCTACACATTAAAGTACTTGGGAGCTCAATAGAAAGTTCAAAAGACCATTTTTGAACCTGACCAAAAGGCTATGCCAAAACTGGGAAACTGCCTGAAAATGGCCAAGTCTAGCAACGTGTTTGTCAAGCCTACTTTGGAGCTCAATTTGAGAAGCATGGATGCGAGTCAAGTCTAGGGGCCTCTACCACGTTAAATTACGTATTTTTTATACAAAGGCAAGGCATTGGATGAAAGATTGAATATCTTTAAGGCTTCAAGCAAAAGGCTCGAAGTTGCTACCAAGGCTGTTTTTCTGGCCGCTTGCTTGTCCTCGAAGTCTGCCAGAAAAATAGCCTTCGTAGCAACTTCGACCCTTTTGTTTGAAGCCTTACAGATATCCAATCTTTTACCCAAAGCCTTGAATTTGCATAAAAACATACCTAATTTAACGTGGTAGAGGCTCCTGGACTCGACTCGCATCCATGCTTCTCGAATTGAGCTCCAAAATAGTCTTCACAAACACGTTTCCAGACTTAGCCATTTCCAGGCAGTTTCCCAGTTTTGGCATAGCCTTTTGATGAGGTTCAAAAATGGTCTTCTGAACTTCCTATCGAGCTCTCAATCACTTCAATATGTAGAGGGACACTCCAGCTTCAAAACAAGTCATTAGTCTTCAATTTCCATATAGCCAATTGTATGATATGAATATCCAAAGTAGGCACCATGAACTGTTTTTACACTGAAACAACATATTAGGTCGACCTGATCCTATATGAGGTCGACCGAATCCTTAATGAGGTCGACCAGATCCTATATAAGATCGACCAGATCCTATATGAGGTCGACCAGATCCTATATAAGGTCCACCGAATTCTAAATGAGGTCGACCTAATCCTAACTGAGGTCGACCGGAAAGTGCAAGTCACCGTGACATGCATGTCACCGTAGGCACACCCTAAAATATAAATATTTATGTAACAACATTCTATAACATTTTTATCTCCTACATCCAATTTTACCATAAGCTCTTAATTAGTTAACTTTGACATAATAGTTTAATCATATATTACTTTCTAAATTCTTATTTTGTTATTAGACCACACATTGTGAAAGATTTATGTAACAACATGTAACAACATTCTATGACAGTTACATAAATTACAATTCATCAATGTTATTTGGTATAACTTGATTTTATTATTAGAGCACACCTTATAGAAGATTTATATATTCTTCCTTAATTGTTCAAACATTGCGTAAAGGTTATGGTCAAATAATCATTTTGCATGTATAAATTAAACAAAAATAATATATAATTCTTCCCTGATTAAACATTACTAGTTCTCATTGCCCGCGCTCCGCGCTAGGACATGGAATTACAAAGACATACTTATCAAAGCATCAATATACACATAGTAATGGAGAGGAAAATATTCATAATTATGACTATCAAATTCACATCAAATATCATAGATAAAATCATAAAATGTGGGTCGCTTTAACATCACAGTGATTACTTTCAAAACCTTTCACTAATTGACATACTTAATAAGTAAAGTAAACAAAAATGGAAAATGCATATCTATAAGTGAAAATACAACAGCCATTCAAATAGAGTGAGTCATGCTTTATAGATTGTTCTACATTGATTTAAAGGTACCGCAAATTAAAGCTAACTTGATAACAGAAAGGCATTGTACATGGTAATTATCCGAAGCAACCAAATTTTCCTTGGCATCCTTAGAGAAAAATAAAAATGGATAAGATTTGATTGGCCACAACGCAAAACGATACATTGGTTCTTCCTTTGTTGGCATTTTAAACCTTCAGAACGGATCATCTTGTGATAATGTCAACTACAACTGCAAACAGATTTCTAGTTCATAGTCTCTCTACGGTCTACCACGTGGCAGTAGGTCATCGAATTCTTGGATCCTGATCGTCTCACTTTCAATTTAGAGTTACAAACCTCCTATCAAATCCGTGGACTCATACACAAATGTTGTGCTAAACTGAAAGAGGGTACACTCTCAAGGAAATGTTACAGTTTGCAGATTCAAAAGCAAATCTACCACATTGCAAAGGTTGAAGACCATAAGAAGAGAAGGATAGGGAGCTGGTGAGTGGTGAGAGAGAGATGATGACAAAGACTCGCAACATTTTATCATGGATGCTCTGAGAATCACACATAGGCTTACCACATCCATATCTTTTTCCTTGTAGTCCAAAACCCAGCTGCAGAAATTAAGATGTTGAAGACAAACCACGGTATGTCAACGGCAAATTATAATTATTGAGATGAAATTAAGGGAACAACAAACTGAGGGCGCTGAATCTCAAAAGCCCAAAAAAAATGCAGAATTTGCAAACGTAAACCTGCAGATTTGTCGTGATCTGAAACTTTTGAAAAAACCCAGATCCATTGATCAACCTTGAGTTCCATTCATCTCCAAGTGCTAGGCGGAAGAAAACAGGACAAATAAGTGAACCTTCATTTTCAATTGATTGACAGGAAAAAGCGAGAAAGGATACAGACCCGGCAACTGTGAAGGTGGATACGATTCCCTTTTCGAGCAGCGAACATGCATCTTCTCGAATCCACTTTCCATATCCCTTCTATTTTGATTGGCTCTCTTCTCTTTGAAAGATCCATTGCAATCAACCACCAGGCTCTAAAATAAATAAAAAATAACCATGCCATTTTAGAAATTTGTCATAAAAAAGAGAAGATGGATCATGAAGCCTGATGTTAGGAAGAAGATAAGTCACTACAATATAAATATTACCCTGATTTGATTTGTGAGCCAGTCCATGATCACCCAGCCTCCTTACGCTGAAGGCTAGATCTGAATGCTCCTTCACCTTGATAGTCCTTATCTATACAACAACCACAAACCCATCATCAAAATAAAGCTGAATTAAAATAGGAATTTAGCTAATTTGGGTTGTCCGTCGATCACTGAACAATTTGAAACTCTTTTAACCCATCGCTGGCCTCGCTGATCTGAGGAAAAAAGGAAGATAAACGTGAGATACTTGCAAAGAAAGCCAAGAAGAATGAATTGAGACTACTTGCCTTTGGGTTCCTCAGACAAATGGGTTCCCCAAAACCGCCACGGATATACGGTTTAAGATTTTCTTCTTCACCAGATGAGGCAGCCGAGCGACCTGTGCTATTGTGGCTTCATCTACACAGAAACGGATTCGCGAACAATCATAGTCCCCGGCAGGGCAGGCGATCGACGGCTTTGAGATCACTCCTCGAATCGGTAGAGTAGAGAGTAGAGAGAGGGGACTGAGAAAGAGAGAGAGCAAGGCTTCGCCGGCCTTATTTTAGTTCACAGAGAGAGAAAAGTAAACATCGAGAGTTGTGCCGGGTAGGTTAAATGAGTGGATCAAACTGAAAGACGAACGTGGCGCAAAGATTTACCAAGTAACACCAGCAAAATATCTGTAGCCCACCCACCAGCTACCTCAGCCTCTCTCTAACTGGAGTACTGGACACAATTCTCGATAAAAGCAGCAAAAGGTAGTGGCCTTCCCAGTTGGGAGAAGGGAAACATAGGGGTCGTTTGGAAGTTGCGATTGTTAAATAGATGTATTGTTGAGAATGCATGTATAATATTATACCTGTATTGTCTAATTTGATGCATTGTAGAATACAACGTTTGGTATGTGTGATTTAGTATGTCGCATAAGCTAAAAGCTGAGACAAAACAATCTCAACTCAACTATCTCAACAATCACAACTTTTAGTTGAGATATAACAATCACTCAAAATGAGTGATAGTTTCTGTCACATCACAGAAACAATCCATGTATTGTTTCTGCTAAAAAAACAAAAAAACGATGCATTGTAAACAATACATGCATAATGACAATCTCAACAAAACTATCACAACTTCCAAACGACCCCATAGTTTGATGAGCGATCAATGCGGGTGAGCGTAAATAGAGGGCCCACAAGCGATCAACATTGCCTCCAACCAGCAGTCCAAACGCAACCAACCTACAGCAATCTCATCAGGAACCAATCAGTGCTCCCCTGCACCCACCCACACCCAAGCCTAATCCCAGTTGTAACAGTAATTATGAGTCACAATGTGCAGTGAAAGGTCTCTGCATGTACAGTAAATGACCCATTAGTGGGTTTTCTTTTTTCAATGTAGATCTTATGTAGGGATAGTTTTTAATTATGTATCTCTTACGTAAAACTTACATAAGTATCTTATCTTAATAATTTTTGAATTATTTGATTTCAACTAAGTTTTTACCGCGGCATGGCGCAGGACAAAAAACTAGTTAAAATTAAAAACCAAAATAGTGTGCCAGAAACTCCTATCACTAAGTATCGCGGCAACTTCAACAAATACTTACACGAAAGCTATAGGATTACTTCACAAGGGAGAACACCAACGAAACTGAGATGGACAAACAAAAACTTCACCCTATGATGACCCAACATAATAATTCTGTAACAGTACTCCCAAATCAATCCCATTGACCTTCAGTAAAAATCAAACACTCGGATAAAAGCAACTATATGTTACACAGTCTAAGAACTTAACTTCCTAAGGGCTCTCGTTTGGGTACTGCCATGGGTTGAATTCTAAGGACTGGATGTCAGTTACTTCTTCGACTGTATCCGAGGAGGTGTCTATTGCAGCCCGGTGTTCTGTATACTTGCCATTGTACTGGTATAGTTCCAAGTCGCCCCAAGGAGTCGGGTGGACTTCATTGGTTTGATCAAACCATTTGGGAGTGAATTGTTCTCCTTTAGCCTCTCTTAGCCTCTTCTCAGCTCGTTGTCTCTCCTCCAGTCTGAAATAACATTTAAGAACAATGGTTACACCTCACCTCCCATATTTTGTCAATAAAAGAGGGCTTGATCATCACTCTGCCATTATTATTATATATATACACAAACCTGCTTTTCTCTGCACCGGATTTTGATAGGTCTCCCTTTTCAAGAGCATATCTATCAGGGCGTAGACGGGAATCTGAGGGCAATAACTTCTTGGGAGCAGTGTCGAAGCTGTTCATCTTGTGTGCAAAATATGTGTACTGATATTTGTCATTTTTGGGAGCCTCTGCCACTCGCCACACCTAACAAAGTGCATAAACATCACCATACGTTCAATTTGCTTGTACAAAAAGTTCATAAGCCCATAGTCAAAATGTTATCTTGACTCGCAACCACATCTCAAACAGTCAGCAGCCAGTGTTCATTAAATCACATCTTCCGCATAAAATTGACACCATGGCAACGATCATCTTTGGTACACAAGAGTGAAGCCTAAGCTTTGGGGAAGCAGAAGATCTCAGAACTCGAAAATGTTTATAATTTATTAGGCTGTAGAAAGGACAAGCACCAAGTACCACAAAAGAAACCCTAAATGTCAGCAATATCAGTTGTGCCTATAAATAAAACAGAACCTCAACCTTAACCAGTGCAAAGTTCAACACAAAAAAAGATTGATTAAGAAACACAGCATCCAGATGAAATTTATGTGCTACAGTAAAGACATATTACGTCTCTATCAGAAGTTCAAATATATTGCATTCACCATACTAATAATCTTTTATGGTCCGCTGGGAAACAGAACATACCTCCTGTAGCTCAGTACCAGCACGCGGTTCTCCTTCCAGGTCACAGAGTTGATAACTCATGGCTTCATTCCATTTCCCAGTCATCAATATCTTGGGTTCCTCATCAGCATTGTACACATAGCCATCCACTTCGTAACGGCCAGTTCTACAGGAGTTCAAACCAAACAAGAATGAGCGTAACATATTACAACCCTGATAGAATGCGTACACTAATCAAAAGATAAACCAGCCTTGAACTGTAAAATGGGCTTTTAAGAAAGGAAACGATGGATGAGCATTGCATATGAAGACAGTATCTTACCCAAACCATCCACAAGGTTGAAAGTACAATACGACTTTGTCCCCAGTAGTCATGTTAGTCAGCACCATCTCCCCTGGTGAATCAATCCAAGTTCGTCCGAAGATTAAGTTGCTAACTTTTGTCAGGGGAGGCACCAAATCAAGGACCACACCATCTCTCTTGAGGGTCACACGTGTCCTGCATTTCGCAATTTTCAAGCCAAAATAACTAAATTGTGCAGAACATTTCGACATACAACAGTTTGTAAAAAAATTAAAATTCTCAGTCATATGCTATGAATAAAGACTTCTCTAATTTTATCAAAGGCTATGATTAAAGTGATTAAAACACCATGGCATCAAAATAAAAATAACAGGGAATTGCAGTTCTTAACCAGGCAAGTATACAGCAGGATCCCACAATAAAAATAAATTATATCTAAGATTACTAAAATGGTTTATTGTCCCTTTGAACAATAGTTAGAAAGCATGAATAACCAACTGCAATGTAAGCACTCCAAACTTCTCCTACCAATCACTCAATCCACCTATTTGGAGTATCCAAGTCCACAACTTGGATTCAGAACATCCCTATTTTGCAAAAGAAATTGCATGTTGTCGAGACGTATAATCCAAACATGGCTAGCTCTATCTCTCAGCACTCACCAACATGAACATCGTGCAATCAAGAAATATAGTCAGAACATGCTGCAAGTCTCTCTTATCACTCACCAACATGAACATTGCTATCAAGACATATAATCAAGCAACTCAGAAATTGGAATAGATTTAAGTCTGTTCATAGATATGCTAAAGTGAATAAAAGACTACTATCAACCATACCTTCCAAGAGGATAGATCTCAATTGAGTTCCCCAAAAATTTAGTCTTCACCTTGGAAGTTATATCATAAGTGAAATGCTCATTTTCGGCATGCCCAGCACTTATGGGAGGGTGATGGCTGACCTGTGAATCAAGACGAATGACAGCAACAAGAGTACTAATCATACATCCAATAAAGGAAAACCAATGCAGATAATTCAACCTTCAATTTCAGTTGCCCAAACTCATTCTTCAGGGATGGAGAACTCACTTGTTCTGATATGAATCTAATGCCTCCATGATTTGTAAGTTCATAAGTTTCCCCCAAAATTGGATTAAATGGCTTCCAAGTGCGTTGGAAAGCATAGTAAACAGAAATGAAGAATGATGCTGCAATGTGATACAGTATTAGGTCTCATGTGCAATCCACAAAAAAGGTGGATGGATGGAAAGAGAGGAAAGGGATAGAGGATTCACACCAGCATATACCAAACGCATGTGGGGATCATCACATTCATCTGCCAGATCTAACAGGTGGGAGTACTCCATCAACTGTGAAAACAACCAAAATCTCGGTAAAAAATGTGATAAATCAGTAACAAGAATAAGATGCACTAGGTTTACGGAGGAAAGCAAACCTCGGCCATCTTCTGAACCATGGTCATTGGCTCAAAGATAATTACAGGAAGAGTGACCATTGATGTGACATCAGAGCCTATATATTTCTGCATCATCCTCCAATAACTGTCCCTTTCCTGTAGGGAAAAAAAAAAAAGAACAAAGGCAAAGAGATTAAACTACATTCCAACTAGCCAGAGCTTCAGATCAAAGTCAGCAGATACAGAGTGCCTTGCATAATTGTTGATTCCAACGGAGTAACTGACTACTGTTCCAAATCTTACACGTATAAACTATCACAGCCACATAAGGACTGTGGTTGAGCAGAGAGCAGTGTCTCATGGTGAGACTTGCAGCAATCTAACTTCGATAGTAAAAAAGAAACATATTATCCAAAATGGCGAAGATTGATATGCTATGAATTGCAAGGCTGGATGCTGGCAAGGGTTTTTACCTCCTGTTTCCATCTCCCTCTCTTTGCTTCCTCCTCGGCATCTTCAGTTCCTCCTTCCGGGTTGATAACTTCCAGCCCTTCGTAACCCACTAACCTGGAACGATAGAAGCAGGAAACTCAGTCAATTGCTCAACCCTTCAACTGACACAAGAAGCTCAAGTTGAAAAGTTGGTAACACTCTACGAAGCAGTAACTTAAGGAACAACAAACAGCAGAATCCGATATCTGGCAACTAATGAATCACAAGGACGTACTGATTCCGGTACTGAGAGGGCTTAATATAGCAAGATAATATAAAACTTTGAGCATTGAAACTCGGATCCAATACAGAAATACTCAAATACTACATAAAATTGGGGAAAAGAGAGAACCAAAATAATTTCGAGAGCAGCTGCAGAAGCAATGCATCTTAATCAAAGACTGCAACAACATGGACAAGCAATTCGTAGCAAGTCAAATCAAGAAGGAGCGATAAGAGAAAGAAGACAGATCTCGGTACCCGTTCACTGATCTGGACATGGCGATGCCGATGTTGGAGAGACCGGAAGCGATGGAGGCGAAGAATCCGCCACTGTTTTGCTTGGGATCATTAGGAGCCATAGCTTTGGGAGGAAAACCCTAAACCAAAATCCCCTCTCAGTCTTCTCGGCAGCTACAAGTGAGAAGTTCCGACGCCAGCGATAGCTAGAGAGAGACGGCGAGAGAGAATCAAGAATCCGATTCAAATTCAATTATAAATTGCGTCCAAAAAGCGAAATATTATTAGAGATATATTTGAAAGAATAAAAATTGGGGAAACAACGTAGCAACGTTGTCAATTCGCGGGTCGATCCATTTTGATTCTGACTCGATGAGAAAAACAGGTCGTACGTAGTTGTCGGATCGACCGCTACAAGGTACCGAGTTGGAGGTCAAATTGTGTCTTTTTTTCTTAGATTTGCGAAATGTGCCTATTTTTCGATTTTTCTTTTCGCCTAACTCAAACTTTGGAATCCTAAGTTGAACAATTGAATATATATATATGGGGAGTTCTATGGTACCCAGGGTGAAATCCGGGGTACCGCATACCTTGAGTAAGAAAACGCTATCTAGACCTCGAATTAGCAGAATTTTTCGGCATGATACTATACTTTAACCCTTAAAGATCAAAATCTAGGTCTTAATTCTCTAAATCTTGTACCCCAAGATCAATTTAATTAGAAACAATAATCGACGGTTATGATTCGTCCAAATATAGGCAAAAAAATCAATGTACCATCTTAGGGTTCATAGTTTATGATTTAGATGATTAGGACCTAGGGTTCACTCATTAAGGGTTAGGGTATAGTATCATGCCGAAAAATTCTGCTAATTCGAGGTCTAGATAGTGTTTTCATACCCAAGGTATGCGGTACCCCGGATTTTACCCGGGGTACCATAGAAGGCACCATATATATATATATATATGGTGGCGTATTCGGCGCACCCACTTTTTCGGGTGCACTCAGCGCACCCGCCTCATAATCATCATTCTAAGCATGCAATTCATGTCAAAATGGTATCAATTGTTGCTTATGATATTATGAACAATAAGCCCATGAATTTGAAAAAAAATCATTTAAGATTTACTTTAATTTGAAGGATTTAGTATTTAGGGGTTTAGGGTTAGGGTTTAGGTTTACAGTTTGGGATTTTGCATTGGGATTCAAAATTGAAGGTTAAGGGGTTAGGGTAATAGATTGATTTGTTATGATTTTATGTCATATCATCATGTTAGATTGAGAGTACTAATTAAAGTTCAAAATTTGAAGTATTATGGACACTTTTAGAAATGGGTGCACTGAGTGCACCCAAAAAAGTGAGTGCACCGAAGTAGCCACCATATATATATATATATATATATATATATATATATATATATATATATATATATATATATATATATATATATATGGTGCCTTCTACGGTACCCTGGGTGAAATCCGGGGTACTGCATACCTTGAGTATGAAAACGCTATTTAGACCTTGAATTAGCACGGTTTTTGGGCATGATACTATACCCTAATCCTTAATGAGTGAACCCTAGGTCCTAATTATCTAAATCATAAACTAAAAATCCTAAGATGATGCATTGATTTTTTTGCCTATATTTGGACGAATCATAACCGTCGATTATTGTTTCAAATTAAATTGATCTTGGGGTATAAGATTTAGAGAACTAAGACCTAGATTTTGATCTTTAAGGGTTAGAGTATAGTATCATGTCCGAAAGATCAGTCAATTCAAGTCATGGATAGCGTTTTCTTACTCAAGGTATGCGGTACCCGGAATTTCACCCTGGGTACCGTAGAACTCCCCATATATATATATATATATATATATATATATATATGGTTCAGGCTAGCGTACACCTGACGTACGCTATACACCTGCATTCACACTCAAAAATTAATTATTAATTATAATCTTATTAATTATAATTATAGTAACCATTCGGTATGCTTAATCAATCATGTAAAAGTTCATTATATAAATTTTGATACCTCCTTTCTCCCAACAATGATTTGGAACACCTAAATTCTTTCTTCGATAAAAAAACACATAAATTGTTTGTTTAAATTAAAAGAGTCAGCGAGTTTTACTTTTAACATTTCATCTGCTTTTATTTCTTCAATCAAACTTCCAATGATTATTTATCCTAAACCGAAACTACTGTTTCTGCTTCACTTATTCGTTTTCATCTCTGAAAAATCGAATAGAAGAATCCAGTCACCCGAAACCAGAGGAGCCCTAAGCGACCTCTTCCCATTTCAATCCATCTGATTCTTCTTCAATTAGTCATTGTCGTGACCAAATCTTCATCTCCCAACTTTCTCCCTTCCTTTTATCAATCTATATCTCCCCTATCCCAACACAGGCAACATCATCGTCTTTGGAGCGTAAATTTTCCATCTCCCTAACCCAAACCAGACCAACCAATGTCTCTACTTTCTAGGATTCCTCAACTCTTCAGTTGGAATCCATGCTCTCTCATGCCATACGCAGCTGTCGATTGATCGATGAAGTCGATTTTCCAAGTGGACCTTCAAAGAGCGAGCTAAATTCAAGCAAGCCGTTGAGGAAGACCATGTCGGGAGGTGCGGTATGTTCTCTAGAGAACAGAAGAGCAATTTTAGGTTCAAGGGGGTGAGAGTCGTTTGTTTGGGAAAACCTTGTTTTGGTATGTCCAGTAAAGCTAACTTTGGATCTTTGTTCTTAATAATCTTCGTGCAATTTCTAGTTGTTGGATTTCCAATGGATTTTGGGAGTCGCCGCTGCACCATTTTCTCCGTTTTCTTGGGATTTGGCTAAATGTTGCATTTGTGGAGGTAGTATTTTTCCGACGATCTCTTCTTCTTGTGGGCCCTGGAGAAGATTTAGGAAGAGAAAATATGTTGAATTGAGGGGAAGCCTTTTGTTATACAGGGTCTCGCTCTCATGTCAAATCCACGGATCCAAATTGAGTAAGAAATTGTTGCCCGCCCCTTAGAGAGAGCGCAGTAGCCAACAACAGGTAATTCAGGGTTTGTATGCTGAATTCGAATAGGAGAGACATGCTTGTACCTCAGCTGCAAATGAGGCCATGTCTATGATTTTGAGGTTGCAGAGGAGAATACGGCCCATGACCAGGAAGAGCTAAGTGAAGGACTACGGTCTACGAGCATAGGACGACATAAGGGCTTACAAAGGCTGAGGAAGAAGGTGGGATTATGTTCTTTTCATTCAATATTTTTAACAATTTGCTATTTAAGAAAGAAAGGAAGGGTTTATGGTTTTCAGTTTGGGTGATTATGTTGAAAAAGAAACTGAATCGAATCAGATTAACATATTAAAAAAATAGTTGGGGATTCTTCATGCTCCACACAATCTTTGGTGTTTAAAACTATGATTTAGAGAAATTAGAGACTATATTGTACATAATCGATACTTAAATGATTGATACAAGCAAAATGGATGGTAAAAATTATTTGGGGACTACGGTGTACACAATAATTAATTAATTAATGTAGGTGTAATTTGTAATTAAATATACTTAAAAATAATTCATTTTTTAATTATAAATTAATTAATAAGTGTGAACACATGTGTATAGCGTACGTCAGGTGTACGCTAGCCTTTGCCATATATATATATATATATATTATGTAAGTGTGTGTGAATTTTCACTATATGTTGGATAGGGATGGCAATCAAACCCATGGCCGCGGGTACCCGACCGCCCCCGACCCAATCAACGCGGGTAATCCCCGCTTTAACCGGGTATGGGGCGGGTATGGGTAAAACCCGCAAAAAGTTTGATGGGTATGGGGCGGGTATGGTTTTAGCCTCCCCCGCCCTATACCCATACCCATATCCACCCCACCAAGAGAATTTCTTCACATATACAAAAACATGTTGATCAAATTGTAATCTTCAAAGGTGATGATGATAACTCAAGGAAATAAATAGTAGAAATGCAATTGAGTGACCACTTTAATCAAAACCTAATTCATTTCCCTCAATTCTTCTTTCACTCTTTCACTTTCCCCTTGTCAACAAGATTATGTTAGTTAATTATTACTTAGTAGATGTATAAGAGTTAGAACATAATAATTTGAAAAATATTATACTCTATATTATGTATCAGTGAATGTTTTATGATCATATTCTTTGAACCATATTAAGAAAATGATCGTGTTTTGTTGAATTCGTGATATAATAGGTACGTTTAGAGTTGTAGTTAAAACTTTTCTTGTGAATTTTTGGATAATAGTGTTGGATGTACGGGTACGAGTATTACCCATGGGTACTCGAAACCCACGGGTATGGAGATGGGTTTGCCGAACATTCCCCCGCATGGGTATGGGGCGGGTATGGGTTAAGATATTTGAAGATGGGGATGGGGATGGTTTAGACAAACCCGCCCCATTGCCATCCCTAATGTTGGATCTAAGTACGACATGTTATTTTGGTGGAATATTATATGTTTACTTTTTCCATATTTTCGGGCTAAAACGCGTGACCCATTAACCCTTGACCCACTAGCTCAACCGGATCCGGGTCAGCCCGCGGGTTGACGACCTTGCAACGGAGGGAGAGGGTATAATGTGGCTTGACTAGCTCTGGTTGGCTGGTTGACGCTTTATTTGGAAAAAATCCTAAAATACACATGTTTTAAAAAAAATCCAAAATACACACGTTTTATGAAAATTTTCCAAAAACCACATGTTTGTGCAGTAACTGCGGTAGATGAAAACGGTGAATGCATCACGGTGGTTGACGGCCGCGGTGAATGTCTGACCTAACACTGAAACTTCAAATGAATGTAACTTTGTGTTTGATTATCCGATTGTAGCGAATTTTTATTTTATTTCAAATAACTTTTCAAGATCTTTCAATCTTCAACAAGCCTTCATCACAAAAAAAAAAAGTCTTTTGCTACCCCGAATGAGCAATTTTTCGATTTCGACAAACTTTGAAAGACAATTACTTTGTGCTCCGCAAACCGAATGTCATGAATTTTTTTTTTATTTCGCATAACTTTTGAAGGACTACAACTTTTATCATAATTATAATTTTGAAATGTATGTGGATTTATGAAAAGTAAAGGCAAAGTTATTCCCAAAATCCCGTATACATAAATAGATTTTTTTTAAAACTATTTCCTAGTAAAAGTTGTAGTTCTTGGAAAGCTATGCGCAATCAAAAAAACTTTATGACTTTCGGATTGAGGAGCAAAAATTTATGGCCTTCCAAAGTTTGGCTAAATCAAAAAATTGTTCGGGCGA